CTTCTTCATTTACCTTCTGTTATTTCTTTTCCATCTTGAAGAATTTGTTTATTGATCTACTTTTTTTCCTCATTTTCTTATATTTATATGCTGTTTTTTATCTGTTTGGAAGCTGCCTAGAGTGGTCGCAAGACCAGATAGGCGGGATATTAAATACATAAATAAATAAACAAATAAGGTTCCCTTACTTGGAGTTACCTTGTGAATGGTAGGGAGCGGTCACCATCTTGACTGCTGACACCGATGTCAACATTCAGACTTCCTTTTATTATGTAAAGCTCAGCATCCTTTTTCCAGCTGGCGAGGCGATCATGCTGTTTTGCAGCAATACTGGGCCATTTCCTGGCATTTTGAATTATGGACACAATATACAGCATTTATAAACCAGAGAGTTTTTGAATAATTGAACGTTCTTCCATGTTAATAAAACAGAACATTTCTAGAAGATGCCTGCATGTTGTGTAGGGCATAGAAGTCTCATAGGAGATTAGGAGACACTGGGCCAGGAAGCTGAGCTGCACAACAGGTAACAGCTGGATAGCTCAGTGGTTTAGGTTTCTGGCTGTAGCTGTGAAGCCAGAGGTTGGGAGTTCAATTCCCCACTGTGCTTTCCGGGCCGAGTTTGATGATCCGTAGAGTCCCCTCTATAGTACAGGTCCTGCATACTCCATTGCAGTTTCCTCTGATAATCCAGATGGCACTTTGTATCAACTAATCAATTTTTCACTGTGACTTTCTGGTTCTTCTGCTTCAGCAAAGTGCTTGAGTGTTTTGCTTTGTATCACATATATGTCTGATTTTCTATAGTGTGGTCTGCCACAGCGGACCCTTGATAGCCCTGTAGCTATGACATGTCCAGTGATGCAAAATATGGGTGCTAAACTTCTCTTATCTCCCACCAAGGTTATCTCCTGAAGGATAAATAATCATACATTTTTTAATTGTTTTTTTAAAAAATTGCAGAGATCAAGAACACAGTGTCTTAATGATGAACCTTGTTCTTGCTGATCTAGTGCTGCTTCTGTTATTCTGATGAACCTTGTTCTTGCCGATCTAATGCTGCTTCTGTTATTTTAGAGCACAATGCATGAGATCCCACATCTCTAAAAATTCTCAAAACAATCTTGCAACTTGTTCTGTTGTTGTGGGAACTTTGCACTAGCAGAACATTTAGAACTAGCCAGGTAAGCTGAAAGAAATAAATCATTTTAGTACTGGACTTGTAGTAAAATAATTTTAAATAACTTTTTATTGTTTTCAGTACTGTAGCTCGGAGGGCTATCGGCACCAAGGCAGAAAGCGACGAACAGAGAAGGGCAGTAAACACAGGGCAGTCAAGGAAAACGGGTGAGAATAGGGCAGAGAAATTGGTGGTAAAGGAGAAAAAGGACAGGGAATGCAGAGTGGGACATTGAGGAACTTTTTTGTTTTCATCCTCTATATAAATGGGGCACTAGAATGTCCTAGTATAAAAAACTTTGGAAACTGCTTCAAGATTTCACAACAAAGCACTTCAAATCACTGAGTGTAGATAAGCTTGAAGACCTATTTGGCTTCCAAACATTTTCCATTTAAATATTAATCAAGTTTTTGATTTTAATGAAACCTAAATTCTGCTCTCCCAAAGTAAGAATTAGGGACATGATCTCTGAGGCTTATTCATGAGCTTGTTTATACTTTGCTGAATAATTACAGCTGTTTGCAATGTTTACCAGCCTTGCTCAGCAGATGTTTTTCTCCATTCTATGGGAAAAATAATTAATGATCACAGAAAACTATGTTTGTAGAAGAGTATTTGGCTAGAGTTTAACAAAAGCATTCCTGCAGAATGAAGGGAGAGTGGAGATAAGAGTTTGGGACAGGTCACCCTGTTTAAACAAAGTCTCAATGTACACTACTCACAAAGTCCTCTGCTATTTTTCCATTTAGGTGAGGTTGAAATCACATTATGCTTTTTTAGGCGAAGAGGTAGATAACTGGCCATGGAACTTGCATTTACATGGTCATCCCAACTGCAGCATTATCCTGCAGCCAATCTCACCATTGCTCACCACAGTCTTGACAGGAACTTTGTCTAGGTATAATCACCTATGGCTGGCCTTTGGAAGATCAACTAAAGCAACTGATTCTAGGTATCATGCAAAGGGGAGCAAATAGTTTTCTTTTTTATTGGCTGAAATCCTGTCGCTTAGCAAAGTGAATTGCCACTAGAGTAGTTGAAGAATTGATTCACCAAATGCTCTCTGATTCATTGGGCCTATTCTGGTAGCAATGTACCATGATAAGAAACAGGATTTTACTCTCAGGGGAAGGGGGACTGCAGTAGCAAAGTAAGTAATCCAGCCTTAATAATATGCAGTTTGACATGGTGAGTGTAGGACCATTTATTCTTCAATATGAGTCAGCAAAATGATTTTGGCCAGCTCCAATTAAACAGTGATTTTTCTCTGATGCAGTGCTCAGCCAATTCATTTGATTTCCAAGTACAGTCCAAAGTGCTGAGTCCTAGTATTTTAATGCTCTACAAAGTTTAGGACTCAGGTAACTAAAAGAACAATTCTTCCCATGTTAGCCTGTCCATGGCACAGGCTTTGTGATATCTATTCAGTTTTATATCAACATCATTAACACAATTGTTTCCATCTGCTGTTTGTTGACTGGATGGTATAATTGTTTCACATTTTGTTTTACAGCTTTCTGTTGTTGTAAACTAGTTCTGGAAATGTCACTGAAGGATACAGAAATTCAAAATATATACAATCTAGCAGACTGTATTCCTTCCTGCTCTTGGTTAAAACGCTGTGTGCAATCTTGGCATACTAGTAATTCCCAATGCATTACTTGGAAATAATATCATTTATTTGACACTAAGGCTTTTGTTAACACCGATAGATTTCCTCCATTGTTCCTATTCAAGGTATAATATGATGTCCTCAGGGACACAATTACACGCTGCACTCCAGAGCAGATGTTTTCAGCACACATTAAGCCCTTCCCCTGTTTTGTAGACCTATATATCTGGATCCAAATCTATTCTTTTCCGATGACCTACTTATTTCTCAGTAGTCCTCAGATTCATCTGTTCCCATAACTAACAGTTTAATTTTAGATAAGCAATCTTCATATATGGAAGTACTTGCCTCTCACACTGGAGACAATCTGCAGTAAGACTGATGTACTTTAATA